GGGTATCCCAGACGTAGATCTATTGGCATTCAGGTTCAACAAAAAGGTAGACAAGTTCGTGTCCAGAACAAGGGACCCGCACGCATTTGGGGTGGATGTTCTGGTGACTCCTTGGGATCAGCAAGGGAAAATGTCACCAGCACACGGAGGATCACAAACGTTTTAATGAACGATCACATAGTTACAGCAAGGCAATGTTTTGGAGTCTCGCAGGACCCCTTCATCAGGCATGTGACCGGTTCCAGTCGACGGTTGCTGTAGCACCCACTTATACTCACAGCCAATTTTTACGCAGGAACGTGTGCGTTTTGGATTGTACACTTGCATCCTTTGGATCAGTTCTCCCTAATTAATGCCTTCCCCCTGATTCAGCTTCTGCCACGCCTTTTGCGCAGGATTCAAGAAGGAAATAACACTGGTGTTTTTGGTAGCCCCAGCTTGGCTCAGGAGGGCTTGATATGCAGATTTTGTAAAACTAGCTGTGGACAGTCTTTGGGCTCTTCCACTCCAGCCGGACCTACTGTCTCTATTACAGAGTCTGGAAGTCTTACATTTCCTGGTTTGAGGCCAAAAGATGGCATTCCAGTAAATGTGATTGGGAGGATTCTTTTTTTTCTCCAGTCAAGTGTGGAGATTGGCCTTGGGCACCATTTAAAGGTCAGACTTCAGCTTTGTCCGTATTTTTTCAAAGGCCTATTGCTTCGCACTATTTGGTTCAGGCTTTTCTGCAGAGGGTCATTCGTACGGTCCCTTCTGTCAGGCCACACTTGTGCCCTTGGAACTTAAATTTAGTGTTCTCTCTCTTGCAGAAGCAGCCGTTTAAACCTATTTGCAATGCTCCACTAGTCCTATTAACTTTAAAGGTTTTTTTTTGTATTGGTTTGGTTTTTTATTTAATTGCAATCACTTTGGCAAGAAGGGTGTCAGAGCTGGCGGCTCTTTCTTGCAGGGAGCCATTTTTAATCTTACTCCATAATAAGGTGGTGTTGCCTTCTTATCCATCCTTCCTTTTCTAAAGTGGATTTTAGCTTTCATTTGAATCAGGACATTGTCCTACCCTCTTTTTCAGAATCTTCATTCACCAGAAGAGACATTTCTGCATTCTCTTTCAATGTTGTGAGTCCTCAGAGTCTCTTTGAAAATGCCGGCACAAATCAGAAGGTCCAATTCTTTGTGCTACCAGAAGGGTTCAGGAAAGGGCAAGCAGAATCCAAGGCAACCATTTCTCATTGGATCCCCCAGTTAATCATTCAAGCCTATGGTTTGAAGGGTAAGGTCCACCCTTTCGGGGAATAGCGCACTCTACCTGAAGTGTAGAAGCTTTTTGGGCAGTTTGCCACCAGGTGTCGGCTCAGGTTTGCAAGGCTGCTACCTGGTCTTCAGTGCATACATTAACAAATTTCTACCAAGTGGATGTTAGAGCAACAGAGGATGTTGCTATTGGCCACAGTGTGTTACTGGCTCCGGTGTAGGTCCTCGGTCTAATAATGAGTGCCTGGGATTGGTGTGTCTCTCCCCCTTCTCAAATGTATTGCTTTGGGACATCCCAGATAGTAATGATTATAGCCTGCTCTTTTTCCCATGATGTATGATAAAAAAAAAATTGGATTTTTTCTGCCTCCTTATATGTAAAATCCATTTCTTGAAGTACATCACGGAACACTGAGGTCCCTCCCGTCATTCTGGAATTTGCTTTCTACAAAACTCATGTACGTCCTGTGTAGGAGGGGTTATATAGGGAGGACTTCCTGTCTGTTTTAGTCTGCCAGTGTAAATTCACGTATAGGTGGCGCATAACCCAGATAGCAGTGATTATAGCCTACTCTGTGGCATACGCCAAGAAATTAATTTTACAGGTTAATAATAAGAAAAAATCCAATTGTTACACACAAATTTGTATTTTCAAAGGTTTATAACAAAAACAAAGGGAAACATCTTTTTTTTTTTTTTCTTTTTCATTTTATAGAGTAAAATATATATTTTATAAAACTGGTGATTTAACATTATAAAAAGAGCTCTACCTTTCTCAAAGATAGAAAATTAATTTGGGTACAGTATTGCGTGATTTAGTAATGATCTGTCAAAGTATCTCATTACTGAAAGCTGAAAAGGAGGTTTAACATGCTGGTCTGCAAGCTGTTAAGGAAAGGGTTTCTCCTTTCCCTATTAGAGGCTATTTCACCAGGTCTGTTGGTGTGCCTTGGGCTTTTGCAGTATCAAGCATCTATATCTCAGATGTGCAAGATCTCCACCTGGTCCTCTGTTCACATGTTCTCTCACAAGTTCTGCCAGGTGGATGTTCACACCAGGGCTGGTGCGAACTGCAGCAGCAAAGTGCTTCAACTTCCAGGCTGCACTGACGAACAACATGGAGATCACAATGCGTCCCTGTAGAACTTCGGATGGTTTCTGAACCAGTCTGAAAGAAGTCTGTCCTGACTCTGTCCAGGAGGCTGGAGTGTCTGGGCCTGAGTCTCAATCTGAAGCAGGCAGTAGTGTTTCTCCTGGCAGAAAAGCTCCAAAATCTTCATATTGCAGTTCAACTACTCATGTCCAGAAAGCAGGCCTCCCTGCGGTCTTGTACGCTGGTTCTGGGTCTTATGGTTTATGCCTTCAAGGCAGTCCCATACTCATAGTTCCGTAGAAGAGTTTTGCAGAGAGAATTCCTTTTGACATCAGATACGTCTCCCGCTTCTCTGGACAACCAGATTAGTCTGGGCCACTCTGCTAGTGACTCCGGTCTCCTCCCCTACAACCGGCAAGTCTTTTTCCCCACTCCACTGTATGGTAGTCATGACTGATGTCAGCCTGTCCAGGACTGTGGAGGAGGCTCAGCTACCCATCAGCGTACTGAAACTGCAAGCTCTCAAGCTGTCTCTGGAGCACTAGACGGATCATCTCCAGGGGCTCCCGGTCTGGATCCAGTCAGGAAACGCGACAGCAGTGCAGCAATGGCGCCGGAGGCATCCAGCATTTTACACTGGGTGGAACAGCACGTTCTGGCTCTTTCCGCTGTGCACATCCCAGGTGTTGAGGATTGGCAGGCAGATTACCTCAGTCACCAGACAGTGGATCAGAGGGAGTGGTCCCTATGCCTAGACATGTTCTAATAAATCTGCCTATGCTGGTGGACCCTGGATGTGGAACTTCTGGTGTTCCTCCTCAAGAGGAGGATTCCAAGGTTTGTGACAACAGCGTGGGACCCCTTGGCAGATACAGCAAATGCTTTGGTGGCACTGTAGGACCAGTATTGTCTCATTTACGCTTTTCCTCCTTTTAAGCTGCTTCCTCGCCTACTGTGCAGGGCAGAGGCCAAAGGGATTCCGATCCTGATAGCTCAAGATTGGCTCTACAGTCCATGGTATGCAGACATGATGTGGCTGGTCAGACAGTCCCTGGCGATTTGCCTCATTGGACAGACTTCCTGCCCCAGGGTTTGGTCTACCACCCTGCTTTACTGTCTCAGGTTTGGAGAACATGGCTCTTGAAGCCAGGTTTTGAGGAACATTTAGAAGGCACGCAAGTCTACATCTCATAAGATATATTATCCCACCTAGAAGGCTTATATTTCCCTCTGTGGTGCCCTGGTTGTCGGTCCACGTTCCTTCTTGGTGGCTCAGGATTTTGTGGTCCTTTATTTTCACCCTAGGTTAGTCTTCCTTTCCTCTATACTGCCCCTATGCACTTCAAGAGATTTAATTCTGTTGTCTTGATGTCATCAGAACAGTTAGGGTTTACCTAGGTGCCCCATCTTTCTTCTGAAAGATTCCCTTTTTTCCTCCCTGAAGGTCCCTGCTTCCATATCTACCCTAGCTAGGTGGCTCAGGCAGGTGGCTCAATTCCAGGGCTTGTGCCCACAAGGAATGGGTTCCCCTCTTCCCTATCAGGGTCCCGTCTACCAGATCTGTCAGTGTTTAAATCTTTCAGCATCACTCATTTTTCAGATCTGCAAAGCCACCACCTGGTGTTCTGTTCATATCTGCTCAAAGTTTTACTGGGTGGATCTCAATTCCTCTGATGTAAGCTTTGGCCCCAAGAGCCATCACTCATTTAAAAATTTTTGGGTCAATTAACCCTTGCTTTTTTGTTTTTCTGAAGGAACCCTCTGCACACTACTATATACCCTTTCCAGCACACTTTGCAGTAAAAAATGGGGATTTTTTTTTATAGTTCACACAAAACATGCAATGCAAACATGCAATACATGCTTAGGCTGGCAAACTGTCAAAGTAATCCTTTTTTGCCAGTCCTACTCTGTTCTGCCTATGCAAATGCTACTGTGGACACAATGCCAATATGGGACAAACCGACACAAAGTGGGGGAGAGCTACTGGGTTTAGGTGTGGCTACTGACCCACAGTGCAACAAACTAAAAATCCCAATTTTATTGCAAAGTTTGCTGGAAAGGGTATATAGTAGTGTGCAAGAGAGTTCCTTCAGAATTTCTAGTGTTTTCAGCACCTGATAGATAAATGCAACTACAAGCTATTGGGATTTGAGCACAGGAGGTAGTGTGTGTGTGTGTGTGTGTGTGTGTGTGTGTGTGTGTCTGTGTGTGTCCCCGTCCAATTTCCATATGTTGGGGTATGTTGTTGCCCATCCCTGGGAATTTTGACTTGCCTGTAAACTCCTCTTCTTGAAGTACAGTCCAGGATACAGGTCCCTCCCCTCTGTTCTCTTTCTCATGATTGTTTGCTACAAAACTGGAATCTTACGGAGTGGGTGGGGTTATATAAGGGTGCATGGGGGGGGGTGGGGGGTTATTGCCAGCAAAGCTAAAATTTCCCATTTTTGTAGTTAAATTGTTGCTGAACATTTAACTTCCTTTTTATTGATTGTGGATACGTTTATATCATTATTCAAGTATGTGGTTCTAGCATATTTAATGTTTTACAGAGAACAAAATATTGTTAACGATATTTCCAAGTATGTTCTTGCCGATCTTACGAATAAGCACAGTTTCTAGGTAGAAGTAATAAGTAATATATCCTTTATTTTAGATTGTAATAGACGAAGAAAAAAAGTTTCTTAAACTACTGGAGCTTTTGGGGCATTACCAGGAAAAAGGATCTGTCATTATTTTTGTTGATAAACAAGAACATGCAGATGGATTACTCAAAGACTTAATGAGAGCATCATATCCCTGCCTTTCACTTCATGGAGGTAAAGTAGAATTTATGAATTATTCTTTTGCAAAATGCTATTAAATTGATACTAAAGATTCACTTAAAAAAACAAAACAAACCTGGTATACTTACCTGCTCTGTGCAATGGTTTTGCACAGAGCAGTCCCGATCCTCTTTTCAGGTCCCCTGCTGGCGCTCCTGGCTCTCCCTGCACAGAGTGTGGCTTGGCTCAGCTCCCCACTCTCTCCTCAGTGGCTGGGATTGACAGCAGTGGGGACCAATGGCTGCTGCTGCTGTCTCAAGCCAATGAGGAAGGAGAGACCCGGGAGAGCCGCGCTTCTTGTGTACAACACTGGATCGCGATCGGGCTCAAGTAAGTGTGGGGGAGCTGCACACTGAAGATGAAAACATTTAATCAGATAACCCTGAAATAGCAAATGTGTTGTGAGCATCCAAGTTTCTTAACCACATCCTCGCTGCCCTATAGCAGATATAATGAAAATGTAATTGGCGCAAGAGAAATTGTGGTGGAAATGAAGTTCACTCAGAAAATCTTAAGCAAAATAGTCCAGTTTTAGAACGAACAAAAAACGGAAATTGAGGTGTATAATTATATATGATAGTAATGGGAGTACAACAAGTAAATAATGCAGCTTCAGTGGTAAGGAGGGGGGGGGGGGGGGGGGGGGGGGGGGGGGGGGGGGAGAGGAGAAAAAGACTTGTAGTGCAAACAGTACCGGATGACGTCCTCCTCCTTATATTTGATGCCTGATATCTACCCACGTTTTGTGAGTTTTTAAAATCTTGTGTGCAATAAATTGTTATAATCCTACTGCACTTAGTCTGGCGCACTTCTCTCTCTTCTCTATTTTTCTCCTATAGCAGATATACTGCTGCAGGGAACCACGGGTGCACAAAATCACGTATATATGCGTGATTTTGCATTTCCGAGTAAGGGGCGTGCCCTCTCCGTGCCTCTATTCGGGGGCCGTGGGTGTCAGTCACCAGGTCCTGTCCGGTCAGGGGCGGACTGACCATTTAAAAAACTCGGGCACCGCCCGAGGGCCCAGGGTCAGTAGGGGGCCCCATGAGATGCCCCTGGTACCTTTTTCATAGGCTTTTTTGAGTTTGGGCAAGGACACGGGCCCCATGATCCCCTATTGCCCGGGGGCCCCTTGAGTTGTCAGTCCGCCCCTGCGTCCCGGTGATTATACGCCGGCAACCATTGACTACGAGGATCTCCAACGGGGAGGAGGGCTGCAGGGTTTACTAACAGTCCTCCTCCCTGTTGGCTCGGGCACACTGCTCTGGATGGCTATGAACAGCCTTCCAGAGCAGTGTGATTACAGTAAAGCCCACACACACCGCCCCCCAGTAAAATGCTCCCAGCACACAGTTAACCCTTTGATTGTCCCTCATGTTAACTCCTTCCTGCCCCGTGCCATTAGTACAGTGTCAGTGCTTTTTTTTTTTTAAAGCACTGATAACTGTATTGGTGTCACTGGAGATGTCAGTGACACCAGTCAGTTCCCCTCAGTGTCAGAATGCCCGCCACAGTGCCTATACCGCCAGTACCTATACCGCCATTTGTAAACGCTATAACTTTCACGTAAACCAATTACTTTACATGTATTGGGATTTTTTTTTATAGCATAGACATGTAGCAGAATACATTTTGGCCTAAATTTATAATGAAATTTGATTTTTGAATTTTTTTTTGCTGTACATGTTTAATAGCAAAAAGTCACAAATATTGTGTTTTTCTCAAAATTGTCAGTCTTTTTTTTTTTTTTGTATAGCGCAAATTTAATTTGGGTGCAGCGTTGCATGACCGGGCAATTGTCAAAGTAACGCACCACCATAACACACAAAGTGGCCTGGTCAGGAAGGGGGGTAAACCCTCAGGAGGGCAAGTGGTTAAAGAATATGTAAACCCAACATTTAATATTCCTCGTGTGCCTGCTGTCAGGGCCGGGACAAGGGGTGGGCAAGAAGAGCAGGTGCTTTGGGCACAGCGGAACAAGGGAGTAGAGGATGGATACAGGACCATAAACCCATTCTATGGCATGCATTAACAGTGGGGGAGGGGTGCAGTTCCTCATCCTTGCCCTGGACGCTAGATGAACTTGTCCCGGTACTGACTGCTGTATGATGTACTTTTATGAAAAAGTATCCTGTTCTTTGTATTGCTTCCTTTGTGTGAAATACCTGGTTATCCTGCCAGCACCTCTGCTTTCGTGCTAAAAGGTAGGAGAACACAGCGTAGTTTGTCTGTGACTGTGGCGGCAGCTAATCCAATTATCAGAACTGTGCTGACACCCCCCCTGCACAGCCATTCAATGGGAAGATCTCCTTCCCTATCTTTTATGCTCTTAACTGAGAACAAAGGGCATGTTATCACTTATAAAGAAAGGTATTTGTAACATGTTTTTTATATGTATACACATGTTGTTGTTATTATTATTATACAGAATTTATATAGCGCCAACAGTTTGCTCAGCGCTTTACAATATATAACGGGAGACAATACAGCAACAATACAGTTAAATACAAGAGGGTTAGGAGGGCCCTGCTCCTTGGAGCTTACAATCTAAATGACGCATAAGACACATGTTTGTCCTTTCATTTCTATTTTAAACTGAATAAGTTGTTTTACAAGGTGAAGGTTTACATATGCTAAGAAAAAAAAAAATCAGAAGACAGCCCATGGATCAAGTGATATTAATGGATATTTACTGGCTGCAAATCAGAAAGGACTGTGTTTGTTGACGTTTTTTGCTCAACTCCACCAGTAAACAGAAATCGGAAAAGACAATAAATGATGCTTAAATTCCTTAAAATCGGAACATAGTTAAAGTAGATTATTTACTAAAGGCATCACCTTTTGTTGATCTCCTTTTGAGTACAACTATCCACATACCTTTAATTGTTCAGACAGATGACAAAAGTCTAAAGTTGGCTATACACTTAGATTATTTTTATTCGTCCTGTGAGCTGAACAAAAAAAATTCTTACAGATTTCTCTACCCACGCTGTACAGCTTGGATGGACAAACTAATGTGTTGGACTGTTGTGCCCTGTCAGTCGCCACTGGTATCTGACAGAATACCTGCAAAGTGGCTTCATCTGAGTTGATGCAACTGTTGTGCAGCCAACAATTTTTTCCTTACTTTTGCACATTTCATTTGAAGAATTTGGGAAGGATGGAGCCAACAGGGCCACCCGCTAATTGAATTTCCGCTAGTTCCTAACGAACTTCAAATAGTACACAGCCAGCTTAAAGCGGAGTTCCAGTGAAACTGTAAAAAAAAAATGGCCGCAGCTACAAAAGCTGTAGCTGCTGACTTTTAAAAAACAGCCACTCACCTGTCCCTCCATCCCGTGGTGTCTTCCCCACAGCCTGTTTCACCGTCCGGCCTGTGTTCCCAGCGCCCGCATCTTCAGTCTGGGCAACCGGCTGTGACAGCTTGCAACTTCACAGCCGGGTGCATGCGCAAGTATCGCTGCACTTTCTGAATGGTCCCGTTGTCTTCTGGGATCTGTCACGTGTCCCAGAGGACTACAGGGAGGGAGGGAGGGGGGAGGACTAGGTGATTGCAGCCGAAGTGGGATTGGATACCTGTCAATTTCGGGTACCCACTCCCCAAAGGTGCCAATCCTTAATTGGGAGCGTGGGAGCAGTCATTAAAGCTGAACTTCCTCTTTTGGTTGGAGCTCCGCTTTAAGGATTGATAAGCCTGAAACTTGATAACATCTGTGTAAGGCTACATTCACACTAGCGTTGTGTGCAGGGGGCAGAGAGGCGTTTGGGAAGCATTTTTACCGCTACCCAAACGCCTCTGCCAATTCTGCACATTACAGCACATGGTGCTGTTCTAACGGGAGCGTTTGCGTCGCGGCAAAACGGACGCCTCTGATCGAGTCAGGAGGCGTTGAAGCCTCCTATTCTAGGCTATGGTGCCGCTCCACAACTGCGTCGCAACCGAGCCATAAACGCCAGCCGGGCATTTGCGGAGCGGTAACACCATTCAAACCGCATTATACGCGTTTGTGGGGTGTTTTTAACGCTCGGCAAACGCCTAGGAACCGCCGCTAAAGCGCGCATGCGGCGTTTGCGGAGCGTTTAAAAAACGCTCCGCAAATGCCGGACCAACACTTGCCAAGCGCTATAGGGGCATTTGGCAAGCGTTGGTAAAACAGCCAAGTGTGAACGAGCCCTTAATGGACCTAAAAACACACTGATTATGAATCGTGTTCATAAGACTTTACCAGTAAATAAACCACTGCTTCCTAAGGGGGGAAAAAAAAACGCCTATTGTTGAAATCCATTTGGTTGAAATTTTAAGTAAATGCAAAATTGCTATTTGCCGAAACCAAAAATTAATTCCAGCTATAAACCTTTGTTATGGTAGTATAAATTTTGTTGGTCTGCCTTTTGAACCTGCACAGTTTTCAGTCATTAAGATTAGAGATGAGCGAATTATTCAAAATTCGGTTCGGCTGATTCGCTGAATTCGCCGAATAAATTCGCTTCGAGCCGAATATATTCGCT